GTGTAACCCATCTAGTCACAAAGGAAACATACAAGCATTAAGACGTGCCGGTTAAATCATTGCGCACAAAAACAAATGAATTTTTATTACACTTATGTAAATTGTCGCGGGCTGATTGGCTGATTAGAGTGTGTCAATTAGAAGACAAATGAGCTTTACTGACACCATCGCGCGCGCTCTGTGGAAAGAAAAGAATGCTTTTCGCTATTTTTCAGACTAAACTGCGCACGTTTTTCGAGTTTTAAACAATTTATGACGACATGAGAGTGTCGATAAGAGGGTATACAACATAAGACCATGCGCAATTTGTTTAATATATTTGTTAAATAATGACAGTAATCCCAACACGTCTCAGTTGTAATGATAACGGTTTACAGCCGATTTTGAATAGGTTGTCSACTCAAATAGACATTTCCAAAGTTAGAATCAGGGGTACATATGCGTTCCTGAACGTGGGACGTTCTCTATCATCCATATCGCGTAACCTCAGTAACCCCAACAGTTGAAATTTAATCTAAGTATAGAGAGAAGAAATCATAAAAGAAAAAGATGTACAAACCTGTCATCTTTAAGCACATGGCACACATAATGTCCACACATAGTTGATGTTCCCATGTGACTTATAAAAGCCTTTAAATGATACTMTGAAATCAAATGAAAGCTAAATATTATCCCTTCTATCACATATTTACTATATGATATGCTACACGCTCTTTGATTGGTCGAGAAACATGTGTTATTAAAGTACACACGCAGAGATGACGCCATTCAATCTTACGCGTGTTCTTATTGGTCACAAGCAGCAGTGCAAGAAAAAAATGTCTGTTGCAATAATCATGGAGAACATGCGCAGTCGTTAACTTACTTCCTGGTCCATCTTTAAGTTGAGGCCCAGTCTCCTCGTCGATATCCATCTGATCAAGTTCATGGGCATGACTAAATATCCAGTCCGCTGCCCTCTCGAGGTTATTGTCCTGAAATGAAAAGAGATGAAATGATGCAATAACAAAAGATACAAAGAACTAATATCGTCTTTCAAACACCCAACTTTGAAAGTCTAGAATCCACTAATACAGTAAAAACCCGCGAATAAGAACAAGTGGATTAAGAACACCCAGGCGTGATTTTTGGAAAAAAAGTACCATTTATATAAGAACACATTCAGCCGGAAAAATGAAAGTTGTTCTTATATGGAAGAAAACTACTTTTCATTGCACACATTGATTTATCAATTTTTTTAAATTAAAATAGTTACATCATTGATTGATTAATGTATATTGATTTCACCTGTTGGCAGCCAAGTATGTTCCTTATTATAAGAAACTTTTTTAAGAACATTTAAGAACAGTTTAGAGGCTGATTTTGCAGATTATAACCTTTTATATAAGAACCAAATCAATACTTTTATAAAGCATTGAAATCCGGGAGATATTCCTTTGTTTTGTACAAAGACTTAAAATTGTAATRCCAATAAGGACATTTACAAAAAGGTGGCAAGCGAAACCATTCCACGACGGAACGTACAATCGTTGACAAAATCCTTGAACCATTTCAGCGAATTTCCGCATTTTGAGCAAAAACCGCAGACACATTCAYCCCCCCTGACCCCCTRAATGCAATGTTGTCATTGATCATGTTACCATAGTACACAAGCATCCAAAACAAGACCCAACATTGATGAAAGGGGGCTAAGGGRGAAAACTGTGAAAAAATAAAGGAGAAAAATGTTAGGCTGGAGACAAATAATTCTACGGTCCAAGKTTTTTTTTGGCRACGATTGTAGGTGCAGCCAAAGAGAATCTAGAGGGTTGTCCAATACTATGACAAATTTATGCATATAGTATTAGATTGTATTCCACATACAATATATTAACAATGCAAGACTTTAAGAATGAAATAATAAAGAAACATGGCGAATGATAGTGAACATGAATTTTCTTCTAGTTTTTTTAAATAAGAAATAACAAATAAGTTACTACTGAAGAGACGGATTAAGAAAAATCTAAAGAAAGACACGATTATGAGAATGCCGTTGTACAAGGACGCTCATAGAAATGAGCTCCTAGACTAACTGTAGCGAATCCTAAAGTAGTTTTGACGTGACGCTATTTAATCGACTATTATTCATTTCCAACAGCCAACATCAATATCAAAGTCATTCCACACAAGTACAAAACAGTCAAGGTACATATTTCTTCGTAGTGTTTGCTTAAAAATCTTAGGGGCTGCGCATTGTGCTAATAGAGTGGTTCTCATTAACCCGTGAAACAAAGTGTAATAGTCAAAGTGTAATAAAGTGTAATAGCCAAGAAATATAACAGAAAACAAGAGACAAAGTGTAATAAAGTGTAATACACTAAAGTGTATTTCACGGGTTAATGAAAATCACTCTATGATCGATTGCCGAGTTATTTACCATCTAACAGCAGTATCTGGACGCATTTGCCATGATATTATTGCTCCTACTAACATGCTGCTGAAGGATAACTTCTCTATATTAATCTGTATTTTGCCAATTAATAGTACAGGGAAAAGTATTCTACCGTCACTCACAAGCTCGACTCGCAGTTCTGCGTCGACTCTTAAGCAAAGTAAAAACCCTGATGGCGTCGATGACTTAACACAAGGTAAGACGGCTTGGTAGTCGAGCGAAAACATCAAAATAAAAAGCTTCAAGACGTTTAGTTATGAAATAGTGCTCAATTATACTGAATTATACAAAATCCTTTGTTTTCTRTTGTTTGATCTAAAAGATCTACATCAYATTGCGCTATTTAAGGCCCGGCCAAACKGGAAATGTTACACGATGCAACACCATGCAACATTGTTGCGCGATGCAACATTTTCTCTTTTGGCCACCKTGTTTGAAGSTGTTKKATGTTGTTRGATGGAGCATGCAACATGTTGYACGGAGTTTGAAGGCCGTCAAACATTCAATGCAACACCRTGCAACATTTCTTTCGTTCTCGTGTTTGACATGCGATGTTTTGCCGTTTGGCCGGTTATATCGGAAACATGTTTCATGCACGCCATCTTGGATTTGACGCATTATGGGTATTTTTGTAGATAATAATAGTCTTCCCGGCAATGTTTTACGGCAATGTTTCAAACCGTTTGGCCACCGTCAAATTTGTTTGATGATCCAACAATGTTGCACCGCGCAACAATGTTGCGTGGTGTTGCATCGTGCAACATTTACCGTTTGGCCGGGCCTTTAGCATTGARCTTAGCAGATTGTGAATGGATATTAAAGTCATCTCACTTTCCATATGTAAAAAAAAATTAAACCACGAGACCGCATAGCCATAGCCCTCGGCTACTTTCTGCACATGGAACTAGAGCGGATTTCGTATGAGTGGGGCACCGTTGCCGCACGGTTACCGCACAGTTACCGGACCTGGCCTGCACAATTTTGGTGAACAGTGTGGCACTAGAATTTGGTTACAGTACGGTTACGGTCACAGTGCAGTACCGTCCGTTTCCCACTCATACGAAATCCGCTCTATAGCATAGAGTACTATGGGGTCCC